AATTAAAAAAAAAAAAAAAAAAGGCTGAGTGTCAGTGGCTCACTCCTGTAACCCTCACTACTCAGGAGGCTGAGGTCTGAAGATTGTGGTTCAAAGCCAGCCTGAGTAGGACAGTCCATGAGACACATCTTCAATTAATCACCAAAAAGCCAGAAGTAGAGCTGTGGCTTAAGTGGTAGAGCACCAGCGTTGAGTAAAAAAGCTAAGAGACAATGCCTAGCTAGGCCCTGAGTTCAAACCCCAGTAGTGGCACACAAAAATGGGAGGGGGGGAAGGGAGGAAGGAGAAAGGAAAACAAAATAGAAAAAAAAATAAAGAAAAAGCCTAAATAATCAACTCTGCCATTAACAACTGCTGACATTCAATAGATAATTTCTTCATTTTAAATCTTATAGTCTTCAAGTGCAAAAATCTGATTTTTCCACTAACTACTAGGCTGTAACTGATTAGAATTTGTATGTTTCCATCCATCCATTCCCCTTGGCTGTCTCTGGGATAATTTATCTTCAAATTATACTTCTCCCTCCTCAGTTTTCCAGCTCCTGAGTGGTCCATGCGTGAATTCAAGTCCACATGGATAAAGCCTTAATTATTTTTCTATAAAGAAGGTCCCTAAACCCAGAGTTGCTTTAGAGTGCCCAGGAGGCCTGAGGTGGGAGGGGGCGGACAAAGCCGACCCCGGGATGGAAGTGGGGCTCACAGACCTGAGAACACGTCAGAACATTTGCAGTCCTGTGTTCTCCAGGTACCAACATCACAAGATAGAAAAGCATTATCATTCACAACGCAACCTGGAAAACTTTATGCAAATGACTTCGAAGCCAGGGTGAGGAATCCACTTAAACGCCTAGGGCACAAGGCTATGAAATTATAGCTTGGAAATTTGACAACAAAAATAATAGCCCAATTCGCAAACAGACTGATCAGTCTAGATGCTTAGGATGTTCTTGGAAACTTACATGTTGAATTGAAAACCCTTGTACAGCTACTTTAAAATATATATTTTTAAAAAAAACAGTGAGGTGCCAGTGGCTCAGGCCTGTAATTCTAGAGATCTGAGGCTCACGGTTCAAAGCCAGTCCAGGTAAGGAATTCCATGAGACTCTTTTCACTAATTAACCAGCAAAAAAAAAAAAAAAAAGCTGGAAGTAGCTCTGTGAGTCAAGTGGTAGAGCATTAGCCTTGAGCAGAAAAGCTCAAGGACAGCACATAGTCCCTGAGTACAAGTCCCATGATGGGTGCACACACACGCGTGCACACACACACACTCACAGATAATTAATAATAATAAATAAATAAATGAGTAAGCGACATCCCAAGCCAGGTGCCCAGGTGTCATTTAGTCCAATGTGATTCTGAGTTCTCATAGGATCACAAAGTGTGTTGGGTTGGAAGTCGGTCGGCCTGACCTGAGCTGAAACTTACATCTTTATATTCTCAGCCCAGTCCTTCCAGGGCCGCCGTGGCCATTAAAAACGGCACATTCTCACATAAATTAATGTGGCAGGAAGCTTGAAGTCCCTGTCCCCCATTCATAGCTACCTTTATGTCCAGTGAATGGGAAGGAAGCCCTCTCGGAAAACAAGTGACAACACTTATTTTAATGTCCAGATGCAGTTTGAAGGCTCTGCTCTCTGGGGATGCGAAGACGGGAAGGAGAGTGTCCAAGCTGACGCGAAGGAAGCCCGAGAGCTCACAACTGTGGAGTTGTAAGAAATGCAAATAAAAAAAGAAAGAAGAAGAAGAAGAGGAGGTGGAGGGGGAAAAAAAGCATGTTTGGAATTTTTTTTAAAATCTAGGCATCACAGTTAGGCCCCAGTAACCTCGGAGGGCCCTGGAAAAAGTTCACCCCAACCCAGAAGGCTTCTGAATGAGAAAAGAATCTCTTTATAGTTTTTCCCCCTCTCTCTCTTCCCTCTTTAAGTGGCTGGAACCCCTTTTGTCCCTGGCCTCCCGTGAATGGTTTTGCTAATCAGCCTATTAATGAGCTTCCACTGCTGAGTGTGAATAGATAAATAAGCCCCGATCTGCTGATGTTCTGGGGTGAAGGCTGAACAGCAGCAAGAACTAAAGGTGACGGTTTGAACTCAACGAAGAGCGGCCAACAGCACCGGTTTCCACTGAAAGAAGGTCCAGACAAGGTCACATTCACCAACCTCCCCATCCACCCCCCACCCCGTGGGCCCATTCTCCCCAACTCTCCCCTTCACAAAATGACTTGAGTAGTCACCTTTTTATTTTTCTCAAAAGCCCTCAAGAATCTCCTCCCTCTCTCCCTCTCTCCCTCTCTCTCTCTCTCTGTTTCTCTCCCCCCCCCCTTCTCTCTCCCTCTCCCCCCCCCACCTCTCTGGTCCTGGTCCTGGGGTTTGAACTCAGGGTATAGGCACTGCCCCCCCCCCCCCCCCGCAAGGATCCTTGAATGGTAAGGAAGAGGACCGCAGATAGTAGGGACATTCAGATAGGAGGACATCAGGACGCCCCTCACATTTCAAAAGACGCAGCCGCTCCCACTTTGGCTGAGCTCAGAGAAAAAGTAAGGGCTGGAGCACCCCTCCCCCCACCGCCACTGGCTTCCTGGGAGAGATCTGGAATCTTCTTTTAAATAACTTCTCTTGGGATTTGTGGTGATGATGGTGGGTGTGCCAGTACTGGAGCTTGAATGCAAGGATTTGACTCTCTGGGCCTTTTCTGCTCAAGAATGGGCCTCACCATTTAAGCCACGCCTCTTATTTCCAGCTTTTTGCTGGTTAATTGAAGCTAAGAGTCTCCCTGCCCAAACTGGCTTCGAAGCACTATCCTCACGCTTCAGCCTCCTTAGTAGCCATAGAAAAGTTAGATGAGCCGGGCGCTGGTGGCTCACGCCTGTAATCCTAGCTACTCAGGAGGCTGAGATCTGAGGATCGCGGTTCAAAGCCAGCCCGGGCAGGAAAGACCGTGAGACTCCTATCTCCAATAAACCACCAGAAAACCGGAAGTGGTGCTGTAGCTCAATTGGTAGAGCGCTCGCCT